GAGACGGGACCTCCATTTATTCGTCCCTATCCGAGAAGACTAGAATATCTAACCATTTCTTGATGTTATAAAAAGGTAGCATATTCTTCTCAGTTATTTTAAGACCTTGAGTGTTGGTCCGGCCGGGGCTTGAACCCTCGACCTCCTGCACAACAGTCCAGTGCTCTATCCATTGAGCTAACCGGGAGGCAGTTAAGCTCAATGGATAGAGTGGTTAAACTCAATGGTTAAGCTTCTTAGGTTTGGGATCATTACCTTAATTCTCATAATCTTAATGAATGATTCAGCACTATTACTGTAAGGAGAAATTAGATGTTTGTCACGCTTGAGGTTTAAACTGTTAAGTCTTTTTTTTTTAATATTGTATATACATAATGCTTTTTATATTTTCTCTGTCAATCACTTTTGTCATGAACCTCTGGCTCGGGAGATCTGGGCAACCACTCCCTGTGTAATTGACTTTAAATAGATTACTAAAGTCTGTTGGCCATGGGTCTGTATGTCATTGGATCCAAACTTTTTCTTGATTTTAAGTTTGTCAAACCAGTGGTTTTTCAGACTGGTTTTGAAAAAATTTTTAAAAAGAAAACATTGAACCCCCAACATGTACATGCCTACTTTATGGTTACCTGGACTGGAGGGGTTGTTGCATTATCATTTCTCCGTGGGAGGGGGAGGGGGGGAGGGAATGAGGGGAATGTGTTGCACAAAAATCCTAGGCTAGATTACCAGTAGTTTTTTGGGAAATGAGCCCCAGTTCTTTGCCAAAGAGGATCATGACCCACTGCCAGCAAATTTGATGGTGGAAATTTAGACTGCAATAAGCCCAACTAAATGGTCTGGGAGGGAGCATGTGGACTGCTGAGCCCGCACAGTTGCTACAATCATACCAACTGCTTGGGTGTGCATTCTCTTTGTAGAAATTTGAAAGCAAAAGTGCAAAAGTAGTTTGTAACACTTAGGAAGCAAGTTGACAAAAGGTTTAGGAGAGCTGACTGATCGATGGTGTTAGTGAGTTGGTTGTTGACGAGTTGACATGTCAGAAAGTAGCTGTGAACTGACTCCAGGAGGTAGTTCATACAGCCCCACCAAAAGTTTTGTAGGGTTCTCTGTGGATTTTTTTCTTGGGCAGAGGAGAATTTAAAGAGTTTAGTCGAAATTGTTAAAAGACAGGAAAAGAAAATGTTTCATCCCTCTCCAGTTCCACGATCGTAAAAAAAACTAACATATTTCAGGCGTTGACATTGACGTGCAGAACCAAAGGTGGCCTTATATACTATACAGCTTCTAACGAACACCTCAAATTAAAATCCCACCTCTATGCAAAATTTCATTCTTTTTGACATGACACCACGCGTTGCCCTAATCAAGCACAGACCCGCTCAACCCTAACCTTGTAACAGAAGACTTTCACTCTCCGGTGTCCACTTAGCTCGAGGAATGGATTCAAAAGCGTGCAAGTTTCGGCCAGCGTTAGTAGCGACAAAGACATGACCACAGCTTCCCCACACGTTCACCAACTCGTTGATTGTTTCGACATGGCTGGGGACTAATTTCCGGTTGAGAAAACTTTCCAACTTGGAGCCTTCGCGAAGCCCAAATCCCGCATCGTCAATATTTTTCAAGGAAAATGTCATTTATAAAAAGGTGATACTCCGTTAAAAATATGAGGAAGAGATCATCGTGAAAAGTGAAAGTAAGTACGTCAAACCCAAGATACAAACGTCCGGTGAAATCTCGTGATCAGTTTAGAGTTTTGAGATTGCTTAGTGGCCACGCCTTCTCATGCGGCCGCTATCAAATTCCCTGAGAGCGACAAGGTCGTCAAGGCGAAAAAGAGAGTCGCGCCTTCAGAGAGAAACGTGGGGGAATTTAATTTAATTTAATAATAAGTTCTTATATAGCGCATTAAAATTGAACTCTATGCGCTTTACAATTACAAAATTAACAAAATTTCAATAAAAATCCTATACATGCAATTCGCTACTCTATCTAAACTAATGAATTATTACGTGTTATACATATGTTTGACAACGTACGATATCAAAAAATCTGGTGGCTTAATTTTTGAAAAGATAAGTTTTCAATAAGCGTTTAAAGGAGTCAACAGATTCGGCGTTTTTTATGCATTCAGGTAGTTGATTCCACAAATACGGTGCGGCGTAGGAGAATGCTCTTTGCCCATACGTTTTAGTTCGAATTGTTGGGACCTCAAGTAGATTCATATTTGATGAACGGAGGTTTCGTGCTGGAATATATCGACTAAGAAGTTCAACAAGATAGGTTGGAGCCATGTCATTTAGTGCTTTGTATGTTATCAACAGTATCTTGAATTGAATTCGTTTTGTGACCGGGAGCCAATGAAGTTTCATAAGTATAGGTGTTATACTGTCTCTTGATTTAGCACCGACTAACAAGCGGGCAGCTGTGTTTTGGATCCGTTGGAATTTTTCGATGTCACAAATCGGTAGACCGTACAATAGGCTATTACAGTAATCAAGTCTCGATGAGATGAAGGC